CAGCTCATGCAGTTGCACATCACAGCTGTTTTAGGGAGTAAGCACCCTCTCAGTTGCTTGTTGCAACTGTGTTAGGGAGTCAGCGTCTTCCTTTTTCAAAATACTACAAAAAAAAATCGTATTTCTTTTGTTTCATTTTATCTGGATTTAATTGAACCTGGTATTTGATGCAATAATTGTAATTATTCTATTTTATTTGAGAACATGGAAATTTGGAGAAAAAAATTCACCATGTTTTGACGAAGACCGATATGAAGTTGCTAAAAGTGCAGTTTTGTGCAGTCAGGTAAGTTTATTATCAATGCTAGACTTCGCAACTGTCTAGAATTTGTGCTTCATCATTGCCTAGTTACAATACTAGTAATATCTCCAGCTCACTACATTGCCTAGAATCTTGATGTACTTTATCGTCTATAATCTTGGTATACTTCACCATATTGCCTAGTTTCAATGCTCGTAATATCTCCAGCTCACTACATTGCCTAGAACTTTGATATACTTTATCGTCTATAATCTTGGTATACTTCACCATATTGCCTAGTTTCAATGCTAGTAATATCTCCAGCTCACTACATTGCCGAGAATCATGCTTTACTTCACAATTGTCTAGTTTCAATGCTAGTAATATCTCCAGCTCACTACATTGTCTAGAATCATGCTTTACTTCACAATTGTCTAGTTTCAATGCTAGTAATATCTCCAGCTCACTACATTGTCTAGAATCATGCTTTACTTCACAATTGTCTAGTTTCAATGCTAGTAATATCTCCAGCTCACTACATTGTCTAGAATCATGCTTTACTTCACAATTGTCTAGTTTCAATGCTAGTAATATCTCCAGCTCACTACATTGTCTAGAATCATGCTTTACTTCACAATTGTCTAGTTTCAATGCTAGTAATATCTCCAGCTCACTACATTGCCGAGAATCATGCTTTACTTCACAATTGTCTAGTTTCAATGCTAGTAATATCTCCAGCTCACTACATTGCCGAGAATCATGCTTTACTTCACAATTGTCTAGTTTCAATGCTAGTAATATCTCCAGCTCACTACATTGCCGAGAATCATGCTTTACTTCACAATTGTCTAGTTTCAATGCTAGTAATATCTCCAGCTCACTGCATCACCTAGAATTTTACATTTGCAAATTTGATTATCACACTTGCATATTGATTTTTTTCTTACTCTTAGAGAAAGGACCACGAAAATGGACAGACTAATTTCTGCGTTCTTGAAATACACATTGTTCCAATTGATGATATTAATGATGATAAGTCAGGTGACAGTTCCTATAAATATAGAGTGTTTACTCATTCTGGAATTTTAGATGAAATGAAGGTTTGTATTATTCACAATTGTGTTGTCTCTAATTTATGGAATTAAGTTAATAATTTTTATCTTTAGCTTCGCTGTCGACTTTGTCGAGCGGAGCTTAT